TCTTTATTTCCTGTCTGTATAAGACCGCCTAAACACTTATAAGTAAATTTATGTACGATTCTTTGCGTTCCTTTTTCACGATGATAAACCCACTTTACTTTAACATTTACTGTGTGTCTAATTTATTATTTATTTATTTATTATTTCCTCACTTTCAACCTGACCAATTTATTTTTACGGTCCGAAATCTTTCTGACTCACGATAAATTACCCTAGTGACGCATCACCGTTACTATAAGGAGGATACCGAACGCAAAACCGATATAGCAAAAAAAAAAGATAAATTTATAACGCACTAAAATTTTTAGGAGAACCCTTGGGACAGTTAAATATATTTGTTTATTTATAAATCTCCAGTACTTACCATATGCTCCCGGCTAGAATGATCGCAACCAAGATCTTCATCATCCTTGTTTGCTTGATTTCTATCGTAGTCCCGGGTATCCTTCACCGTGGTCCTTGATTGAAGCTGCTTTTTTTTTCGTACTCTGACCACTTCTTATCTCACTGATCCCTCTCGTAACAGTTTCTTGTTCAATTAATTAGTAAATCCACGATAATTAATACAATCGTCCTCTTCATCTTGCTCCAACATAAAATTCATAAGGAACAAGTAAATATAAAAACTTGGTAAAAAGGAGCACATTTTTATTAAACAAAATATTTGACGTTTCGTCGAAACCAAAGTCGACCTCTTCAGAAATAAATACGAGAGGCGCTTCCCCTTTAACATCACGATTGTATTCTATTAACTATGACACATTTTCAAAGTCATATGACTGAATTTACAATAATTAAAGTCATATGAAAAACATTAGAACGTAAAAAAATTCATTGCTTTATATAAATGGGACACTGAGTATTTTGAAACAAACAATTGATTGATTGTTAGGTCGGCGTAACGACATTGTGTTTTTGTTTCAATGTACTTAGTGTCCCATTTATACAAAGCAATGAATTTTTTTACGTTCTATTGTTTTTCATATGACTTTAATTATTGTTAATTCAGTCATATGACTTTGAAAATGTGTAAGAAGTACCGAAGTTATTTTTCATCAACTAAAAATATGGATTTTGAATCTTCTTGGATGTCCATACTTGAAATTTATATTTTATTCTTAAGAAAATATGAAATACCCATAAAATAATAAAGATTGTTTACCCTAAAATTAAATAAATTTTGCTGTTTCGTCAATATACTATGATAAAGTGGACTGCTCAATTATATTTCTGCAATGTTCTGTAAACTAGGGTTTTCAGATTAGGTTAAATAAATAAATGATCGCAAGTGTGGATTTTAAAGTCATATTTAAAACAAATTGAGAAAAAAGGTTAGATCCAAAATCAAGCAGAGACTTTGGCAAAGTGGTTTATTCAGTTTAAATCGTTCAACATTAAGTTTTTTATATAAATTATTTGATATTTTAAGGTCAGTTAGCATGCTATAAGATCGGAATCTTAGGTTTAAGAGTCACTGAGATTAAGAGCTTTTGTTAAAGGGAAATAAAAAAGACAAACGTTCATACATCGGTTTGTTTAGTTTAAAATTTATCAATTTTTGGTTAGGTAGAGTTTCGATGTGAGATTAAAGGAATGTAGGACTAAGAGCTTTGGTTGATCGATTAAACACATGGGAAATATAAAGATTATAAGGTAAACTAATTTTACAGACTAAAGTAACGTCAAAATTACTTATACTTTATCTTGGCTTAGAAGATTCCCTGAGGCTGGAAAAAATTTAAACGTGCTAGAACAATTTAGAATCCAACAACAAAGAATGCATATTGACGGCATTTTTGCTAACTAGAACTCTCCTACTTTTTTTATGTTCGTTAATTATGACAAAAATATCACACAGCCACAAAAAAAACATTTTGTGTTTTAAAGTTTTACCACGCATACTATGTATTTTTTGCAACTATTAAATCTTAATCAAGGATCAGTTAAACCCTATTGAACTCGGATTATATCTAGATTTTCAGGAACCCGATACCCTAAGCTATATAACTCTGTTAAAATAAACTTGTTACATAAGATCTGTATTCTCTTAATAATAAAATCCTATGATCTGTAACCCTGTAATCTCATAACTCACAATTTTATTACTAGATAAAAGTATGGCTCTACATTGAAAAGAAATATTTTTCAACGGGAAATCTAAATTTTTTAAAAGTTGTTACAGAGATAAAAGATATCTGAAACCTATAACATCAAATCTTATAAAGCCTAATCACTCATAACCCTGTTATCCTGTATCAAAGAAAAATACTTTATCATGATCAGTGTGTATTATTCAAAGTTGTATCAGGGTTAGGGATAACTTAAGTCTATTGCATTTTTTCTCTTTAACATCGTTTTCATAGATAATCTCACGTATGTGCGTGTATACCCAGCACACAGTCTCGTAAGCAACAGAGTGAGTTCGTTATTTGGTTAGGTCCCAGGATTACAGCTTTTATGCTGTTACACTAGACCACACTTGTATTTTTTTCGCAGAGAAATTTTTAAGTCACAGTATCGTTTCAGAAGAGGGTGAGAAAGAAGACTCCAGGACGTCGCCTTTCGGCAACTACAGTTTTACATTAGTTGGTGATTTAGCTATTGTTGAATCCAATGCTTTTAAAAAACCAATCCAGAGCAATTATGCAATCATATGAATCTATACTTGCATAATCCTCGAGTGAATCATGACTATATAACACTAGTTCGCCTTAATACTTGCTCCTTTTTTATAATAAGCATTAAATGATTCAGAGAAGACTACTACTGTAAGAGAGTTATGCTTTAATTATCTAGTATATCTGTGTGACTCATCTAATTTGAATTATGACTATTTTCATTACATATGTTTAACATATCAAGTGAAATTTTTGCGAAAACACTTTGACTAGAGTGTATGTAACTTTTACGAATACATTTTTAATTTGAAAATTAAGAAGGTAAATATGTAAGTTTCAGATATTATTTATAATATCTATAATAAGATAATTTATAAGTGGAAAGAAAAAAAACTAATAATGCGAATTTTCCTCTCGAACAATTTAGGAAAATCCACTAAACTCAAAAGAATCCTACTTTTTATTGCTAATGCAGTAATATTAAAACAAATTTAAGAACTCCATAATAGCTTGCAATAAAACAGATGATCCAAGATAAACTATTTCCCTTCAATGGTTATTGGGTGATAGTATTACATACATATAGGGTTACTAGATTTAATGTGACAGGTTTGAGGTATCTTGTTTATCTGTGTTCACTTAGAATAAACCAGACAGCTTATAATACATTTTTTTTATGCAGAATTCTTTGGGTACTGGATGTACAATTTTGAATATAAATATTTTTCATGGTACAGGTTAAAGGTATTCTCAACCTCTATAATTACTCGCAATAGAACAGATTGCTCGTGAAACACAATTGGGTTGTGGGTATTGAAGGGTTTAAGATATTACCTAGCAGTTTTATGGTTGCAAGATTATTCAGCTTGGATAGTGGGGTTTTTATCGTAACCTAGATTCGGGCTGAGCAACCCTGAAAATTAATAGTATCCATAGTGTGACCATTGCGTTGGGCCTGAAACTTTATTTTTGTTTTAGGTGGCTGTGTCCCAATCTAACAATCCAACTGATTTCTGGTCACTATGTAAAGCGTAATTGAATGGTTTTAAATAACGTTTATCTCTATACTTAACGTCACCAATTTAGTTCACTTTATAAGACTGAAAAGTTTTTTTTGTCACAAAAATGTGACATGAGTGAGAATTAAGTTTATTAATGCGCTTACGCAAATAATTTTTTGTCAATGCACAATTACCTAATTAATAATAATATTATCAATATACATTCTCATACGGTTACTTTGTTCATTCAAAGGGTTACTTTATGTTACTATCACACATGCAAGTTCTTTTTTATCTAATTAATTAACTGTGAGCTTTTCTGTAAATTAACATTAAAATTCATACAAACAAGTATTCTGAAAAAGTTGAGGCTACTGAAAATAGCACATTTTGTTATATAAAAAAAATTTTGCTGCTAGCCTGGACTATTTACTAGACCCTAGTAGTAATATTAATTTTATTACATATTACATGCATTTAAATCTTATTACGCTACGTTTTATATGTTTTTGAATATTGTAATAAGCAATGATTATTCACACGATGAATAACAAATAAATAAAATGTATGTTGTCGTTTGATACTAGGAAGGTAATCTAGGATAAATTTTTCATAATTAACAGGACATAAGGTTTGAGGTGAGATTAGAACAATTATTTTATTCTAGTGTTTTATAAGAACATTTTACTCTCCCATTTTCTAAAACTGAAGGAGTTCCGAAGCTAGCTAGATATAATTTTAACATTAATAGAAATAATACTGGTAGGGCCATCAGAGCAGTTGTGAACATAGCTACTTCAGAAAGATATAACTGCTATTCTATAAGTGAAAATAGAAATATTGAATTCGAATAAGTACATACTAAGGGCTTGCAATATCGTAGTTCAAAATAAATCATGAAATTAGTATACCAGTCAACAGTGAAAGGCACAAACAATATGACTAGAAAAAAATAAAAAAGCTTTTAAAAGTATAGGGTGTATAAAATAGCAGTAAGAAAATCAAAATTAAAGAAGCTAGAGATTTCAAAAATTAAGTTGATAGTTATTTTGATGTTTGAAAAATAATACATGTATCATAAATACGAGAAGAAACTTGATCAAAAAGACATGTGGAAGTCAATTCATTTTTGTGAAAGATACAAATAGATGCCTTGAATCAGATAATACAACCTTTAATCAAATGACATGAAGAGTTTTGTGCTACTCATAAATCTGCTTGAATTGTCTTTTTATAGCTTTCAAAAAAAAGGTCTTTTAAAAGTTTCGTATAGATTTATAATTGACTTGTAAACATTCCACTTTTTAATGTTTAACTAAGAATGATCCAAAACTGATTCATTTGAAGAAGTTACAAGTGTATGGAGTTGGTCTGTTAAGAAACTGTTTTTTTAACAGTCTCCCTATAATATTCAGTAAGTTTTTAGAATATAAGGTTTGTAAATTTATTATTACATAAAGTTGTTAATAATCGCTATAACTTAAGCTTGACTTGCAGCTTCGATGTGAGCCATCACTTTCACTGCTTGATTTGCTGCTCGAAGATGTAGGCGATGGTGTAGGCCGATTGTATGGAACAGGTCTTTTTCTAGCACTGAAAAAAACAAGGAATTGATGTTGACTTTTAACCAGTGTATTAGAAAAACGCATATAATTAGTATTGATAGAAAAAAGGTAGATGTTTTCTGAGAACATTTTTTCCCACGTTTTAACTCTATTATTCTTTTTAGTGCGTAATGGTGGGAAATTGTCTATTTTTAATAAGGTTCAAAAATTATGCAAATACATTAGAAAAAATTTTTTTAAAGGTATTTCAGTTCAGGCCTTTATTAATGAAATAAAGACCATATATATAAAACAGTTAAGTTCAAAAAAAGATTTTATAGCTACTAATGTAAAAATAAATGTGGCTATTTTTCCTTTCTAAGCCTTTACTTTTATTCATAACTTTTAACATTTTAATTTCTTAACATATTATAATCCTTTTATTTTACTTTGTGGTGTATCCAAAGAAATTTTTCTACTTATGTATGGTTTTCTTTTAACGTAGCACTTATTAGCATTATACGACATTTTTACATAAAATCTACAAGACTACTAAGTAAACTAGTAAACAAATGATTAGATATATTAAAAATAGATTACCTCAAAAAAGACTTGGTGGCGTTGCTCTGAGCCAGCATACAACTAAACTTAAGTTATAATTAATTTGTTCCTCTCAAAAAGATCAAAACACTAATTTCATGTCTTGAAAAAAAAATCTAGAGTCCTGGCAAACACTACAAATTTATGAACTATTACAAATTTTCCAGTTTGGCTTTACTACAAAATGCTTTGTTGGGTAGATTTATTATTTAATTTGTAGAAATAATAGTCTTAATCAAGTAAGCCACTACATTTAAAAGGGACATTACTGTAAGTAATTTTATTGAAAGACAAGGCACCCCACTGCAAAATTTATAGTTTACATTTATACTATAGTTACTGAAAAAAGCTTGATTGAACCGTTTTATATAAATCTGATCCAGATGAAACCCAAGAAAAATTCTGTGGAGATCAGTGGGGGTATGCAGAGGGGGAGGGGGTACGCCCCACAGAAACAACTGTATCATATAGAAAGATATGTATGTATACGTGCACATGCACTGTAACGTGAATTCTGACACACGGACACAGTAGTTCTGTTTGTAACTGTTGGTCCTGAATATAGCGGAACCAACCAGAGCAAACTTATACCTTTGCACCACTTTCCTGACTCACTGTACTACTAAAAATCAAGCTAACTCGTAATTCTATAAATGTATATAAGTCTATGCTTTCTCTAGAATTATATGCTTGAAGTGTAGAGCTCCGCAATAGACGTTACAGAGGATGTACTCCTCAGTCATTGGTGTATTCCCCAAATGCTGCCGCAGTGCTGTGTATTGTGCGTTGCGGCAATTTTAGTGTATATCTAAAGATAGTTGACATAAGGGTAGGGGAACTTTTTTGATGCGATCCGCAATCCACAGCTCTTTTCTGCTGTTGTGTGATCACAGCCTTCCATAGCTAAAACGTGGAACTTACCAACAGTTAGTATAGGTTAACCGTGGTGCTGCTGGACCATGCCATGACTTATGGGTAACTTAACTACTAGTAGCGTTTGCAGAAAACACCAAGAAAACGAGCAAGAAAGACAGGCTGTACAGGCTAAAGGCTGTACACAGTCTGTCTGAGCGACAATTATGTAGGAGTGTTTCTGCTGACGAACAGAGAGAGTCACATCAAAAAGGTAGTATAAGAATCTTAAGAAGGTTAAATATAAACGTAGATAATCTACATATATTAAGTTAAATTGATTCATAATCCTACTCTTAGTTATAAAAATAAATTGATTAGTAATTATTCGTATATATATAATCCATCTACTTGCCTCTTGGGTGGTGTGAAAAAATAAATAAAAATAAGTATTGTTGAGTAAAAACTTAAGTATATAAATGAGGTCAGAAGAGGGCGGTAGAATTAATGGATGAAAAATGTTACAAGTCAAAATAAAAGAAACAAGACCTGCACATTTTCACCAAATTTCCGCATTGACACACATATGTATACATATTATTTATTAGAAAATTTATTTAATCAGTAAACTACATTGAGTGTGTGGGTAAGTGTCAGGGTCCATAATTTTTAGTTGAGTTTCGTTTATATTTGACGTAAATGGTGTAGGGGGATGTGGGGGGCGTTGGAGTGGTGGAACTAAGAAAAATTGAGGGGTGGGGCGGAGGGGG